TCACGTAGATACTATGTGTGCTTGCCATTTTACACTTAGCTGTTGGGACTTTCACGATGGAGGTTGGTGGGCGTCCATGAGCACCAACCACTACTGGTTTCCCAAAGCTGACTGATTGGTGGTATTTTTCTTACACTGGCTCCTCATATGTCCTTGCTCCCCACAGTTCCAATAGTCTTTCTGGGTAGCAGCCTTTCCTGCTGTATCATCTCCCCTGTGCTAAAGTTTCCAGCATTGAGCTCTCTTGTGCCCAGGTTTGTTACAGTGCCAGCAAAGTCCCTCAAACTTCTCTAAAAGCTGACGTTTTCTGGCCTTGAATCCAGATGACTGTACCAACCTCGGTACCTCTGTGCTGGACATAACATAGGATTCAAATTCGAGAGCTCTGGCCATTGCATCCTGCATGGTAGAAGGGTGTGCTTGCTTCACTTGTATCTTAAGTTGTTGGACTGTCCAAGGCATCTACAAACTGATCCCTCAGCAACAACTTGAGGAGATCGGGTGGTGCAGTTGGGTAGGCCTTGTGTGCCATGCTTTCCAAGTCCTGAGCCAGCTCTTGCAGGCTCTCCCCTTTAGCATGGACTCTCGTCCTGAACCTGGCCCTGTAGACTTCTGACTGATTTTGGGTTCCGTACCTGAGTTCTAGAGCCGACACCAGTGCTCTATAGTTGTGCCTGTTGTCTGCTGACAACTGTCCAAGTATTTCCAGTGGTTGTCCCTTCAAGCTAGTTGCCAGATATACTGCTTTCTGCTCCTCTGTCCATCCATTCATCTCTGCCAGTAGCTCAAACTGTGCTCTATATGCTTTCCACAGTGCTTTCCCATCATATTCCTGTGGCTTCCTTCTCACTGGATCACTCCTATTACTAACATTCATATCTGGGATGTGACTTCTAATGGGACTGAATATGTCTGCATTAGAGTTTAGCTGCGGGCTCTGTAAGGGCTTGCCACTGTCTGGGGCTGATTAAGTTGATGGTCAATGTATCCTCCTTGTGTAAAAGACAATAGATTGTCCTTCAATTTAGTAAATTTAAAAGCGAATTAGATACTGTTTTCCATTTGTACTTCTTGTTTCCTTTCTTGTTCCAGTTGCCACTGCTGTAATTTGTCTTCTTGTTTCTTTTCTTTTTCAACCAAAATCTGCTGTAATCTCTCTTCTTATTTATTTTCTTTTTCCTCCAACAAGTGCTGTAATTTCTGTTCTTGTTTATTTTCTTTCTCCTCCAACCACTGCTGTAGTCTCTCTTGTTTACTTTGCTGTTCGAGCTGCCATTGTTGTAGGTTTTCTTGTAACTGCTGTTGTCTTTCTTCTTGTTTCTTTTCTTTTTCCTCCAACAACTGCTGTAATTTCTTTTCTTGTTTCTTTTCTCTTTCCTCAACCACTGCTGTAATTTCTCTTCTCGTTCTTCTTGTTTCTTTTCTTTTTCCTCCAACAACTGCTGTAATCTTTCTTCTTGTTTATTTTGCTGTTCGAGCTGCCACTGTTGCAGGTTTTCTTGCAGCTGCTGTTGTCTCTCTTCTTGTTTCTTTTCTCGTTCTTCTTGTTTCTTTTGTTGCTGCTAAACTGTAGTTTGATTTTCCGCCCCTCGTTTCCATTTTATTTTTTCGTTCCACTTCTGACACCAATTTGTTACGTCTCCGTTTGTTAATTGATTTTCCGTAACTTCATTCCGACGAAACTTTAGCGACACAAGTCCTTACTTAATAAAACTGGTTTATTCTTTCCGAATATAACTTTACGATACACTTAATTTCAACAATCGCGCTAAAACAAACGCTGTAACAACGAACGTGCTCAGTAATACTCTCTGACTGCAGATCAATTACTCACTGTCTACACACACATTATTTTTCCGTCACGTTGTCACCCTCTTTTATATACCAGACTACCCTATATCTAGTAAATGCTAGAGCATTCGCCAAGGTACAGGATAATTCTAGAAAGTAGGTGGCGTGAGAATAGTCACGTGATCTCGCTGACGCAACAATAATAATAGGGCCTTTACTAGAAAAAAAAAGTGATTGTTACAGGCTTATAGCGTATCAAATTAATACTTCATATTAAAGTTCTTTGTCATACAAAATTTAAATTATTCATTCTTTAAGACAATTTATGTGTTTTTTAACATTTGTGTGTGTATCTCTCTGTGTATATATGTATTCAATAAATTTCGACTAGATCAGTTGCATGGTCAGAGTCAGAGCGTTAACCCTTACTAAGGAAAATATAACTGTCTATAGAAATAACAGTTTAAGTCATATTTCACCTTTAATTTAATGAAATTGCGTCTTTTTGCTCCCAAATTAGTTTTTAAACGGTTTCACATTGAATTCAGTGGATATTGAAGTGTTTCGCAAAATAGGTCTACGCATTAAAACACTTACAGATAATTTCAATAAAATTAAAAATATATATATATTCATTTTTACAGTATTGTCCACGTTATTTTAATGTTTTTTAAAACATAGTTATAAATACGATTTTTAACATTCAAAAATAACGATTAATTGCATGTGTTTTTCGAAGCTTGTCTATTGGTCAATACTTTAGCATAGTCTGTGGTTAATGAGTTGGCAGAAGAATGGATTGCCAGATTCAGCGCACCAGAAGAAATTCATATTGACCAGGAAACTAATTTAAACAGCAAGTTTTTTCATAGTTGTGCAAGATGTTGGATCTGTGAAAACGCGCAGTTAATCTTATCCCCTCTAGCATGGTAATATAACAGAGCGAATGATAAAAACTATTGTACAAATGCTTGCAAAGTTTCATCATTTAGAGTAGCTGGAAAATTTGAATGTGCCTCTGAGGAAGTGGTTTAGATTTTGTAGTGATGCAACAAATGCTAAGAAGCGTGTATAACCATTTTTTTTATTTGCAATAGATTTTATAGTAATTTACAGGCTATAAAATGCATGAGCTTTTGGCATCTGTGAGACCAGATGGTTGTTGATGAAGCAATGTGTGGATAGACTGCTCGAGCTGTGAGTTGCCTTACACGTCACTGTTTTTTGAACATCCTACACACACCAGTAGACGTTTTCTTTTTTATTGGGGGATTCTCAACTCATTTGACATTATCTTTCCACGTGCTACGTGTAGAAACAGAAAGAATAATCAAAACATTTACTACCAATTTTATGACTTTGAGATATGTTGGATCGGATGCCATTTTGATGGTTGACGAAAGGAAAGAGAGCAAATATTTGCTTCTGAACAAAGTATATCAAAGTATCTGAGCTGAGTCCACACTGACAGACCAAAAATACAAATGATGCGAATATGATTCACGAAGAAATCGCTAAGATCTATTTCTCAGCCAGAGAATTTTACAGAGATATCATATGCGAGGTGAAACAGAAACTCCTGTTTGATGATCCAATCTTCGAGCATGCCAAGATTGTGTACTCTACGAAAGCTTTAGATTTAGACCCAAGAAGCATTTTGAGAAAGCTTGCTCTTCCACACTGGGTAATTACTGTAATCGACGAAGAGCTCAAAGTCTACTCGAGCTTCCTAACACATTGAACACTGATGTGGTTACTTCTATATATAATTTCTTTACCTTTTCCTTTTGATACTTTGGAATTTCCCAATTTAGTGAAATTAATCAAAATGTAGTTTTCCTTCTCAAAAAGAAAACAAAAAATTCTTATTTCATTTCTAATCATAGTAGGACTCGACTTCAAACAAGCTTAGTGCGGCCCAATGTTTGTGTGGTGAGCAGTGGAGCTGAGGTTCCGTGGTTCGCGTATCGTTACCGCCGAAAAAAATTGCGCTCCGCACTTTGGGGCTGTGCATGCGTTATAAGAATGACGCTCAAATTCCACTTTTTAGTATGAAAAAAGTAGCCCAAGAGTTGAAGATGAGTGTGTTGAATAGCTGCTTTCTCTCTATTTTATCACTTAAGAAGTAGGGATAGCTAGATTATGTAGACCTCATGTAACTTTGCGCGAGAAAAACAACATATTCTATTAGAAAAATACTTGTATGGAACTTGCATGTAGCTTCTATTATTTCTAACTGATTGGTTATATAGTCACATTATGTACACACTTTCAATAGCTTTGAATAAATAGAAAATCTTATTTTTTACTCATAAAGCGCATACAAGTACAATACCATTAAATTGTCTATTCCTTTATAACAGGTTATTTATATATATATTCTGCTAGGTAAGAATAAATCTTTGAAAATGATGGTTTCAAAACACTTATACAATATTTTAATGGATACAAGAACATCACAAAAATTAATCTCTAAAGTTATTATCGATTTACTTGAGAGAAACAACACTCACTTTAAGCCTAAAATAAAAAAGTCTGGAAGAGTTCATAATTCAAACATGAAAAGTCTCCTAACTGATAGACACACAAACTTCACAATACAACCCAATGGCATTCTTTTGCATGCTATTGCAAGTATTATTTTTTATGGAAATAAACGTACTTCTTTAAATATTTAATCTGACATAATGACATGATTACTGTTTACTAACTTTCGTCATCACCAAATGCTAACACTCAATGTATAACTTCAATACATTCTTTTAATACTTGTTGTTGGTACAATATTAAACATAAAATTAATATCTACATATTTTCTCATGTTATCAACCATGATATTTAAATGCATTTAATTAATAAGTTAAATAAATATTAAACTTAACATCTTTTGAGGATAAAATACAATACATGTATAAAAAGAAGCATATTGCAGCTTCAACAAAATGAGGCAATCCTAGTTTCTCCCCCCCCCCCCACAAAAAAAAAACGTTATTCAAATTGCAACTACATTGGAAACTGTCGTAAACATCCTGTTAAGTGTGACAACTCAATTTCAATGCTGAAAACGAAGGACACAATAATACCGATCACATTTTCCCCTTCTTTAGTAATGCCAAAAAAAAGGAAACGGATGTTTTATCAGCATTTTATCACGTTTTCGAGAATGAATGTTAAGAACTTTGGAAACAATATTGCCATAGTGACAACTTGTGCGTATCGACTGTGCACATATATATGTCTGTGTGTATTAGATAAATTAGTGTATATATAAAGATTAATTTTACATACAGCCTCAGAAGCAGACCGCTTTATAAAGGAAACAGACTTAAAAATTCCTGCTGTCCTAAGTTTGTGAGGTGAGTAAATTTTTCTTCCTGATGCTTTGGATTCAACATTACTATAAAGCTTATTTTTTCTAACACATTATCTAATGTTTCTTCACAAACTATAGATATTGTTACGTCTCTGTTCGATAATTAACTTTCCGTAACTTCGTTCCGACGAAACTTTAGCGACACAAGTCCTTACTTAATAAAACTGGTTTATTCTTTCCGAATACAACTTTACGATACACTTATTTTCAACAGTCGCTCTATAACAAACGCTATATCATCGAACGTCAACAGTACTTCTGACTGCAGTTCAATTACTCACTATCTACACACACATTATTGTCCCGTCACGTTGTCACCCTCTTTTATATACCAAACTACCCTATATCTAGTAAATGCTAGAGCATTCGCCAAGGTACAGGATAGACCGGACACAATGTATACAAAATGCAAAGTAAGCTTTATTAACAACAAATACATTTGAGTTTTGTACAATGAAGGACAATTCTTACATATATAAATATTAATTTTGCACAAAACAATGGAAACTTTAAATTTTCAAAGAAGAAGGGAAAAGACATAATAAATATTATGTACACCACATCCATGTACATAAATCGCAGATTAATGAGTATAATTACTTTAGTTATTAAAAGAAGAAGAGAAATGTATCATCTATTTTATATGCACCACACTTCCGCACACAAAAAATAATGATGACAATTTTCATTTCATTATCAAAAGAAAAACAGCTGAAACAAATAAGAGGCATATCTTCTTACATTCTTTTTTTTTTTTAAAGTTAGTGGAGTCTCACAATTGATTCTCTAGGATGATGGTTGATTTTTTGCTGGTAATGGTAATCTGCCTAATCTTCTTACAGAACCGTATTTAGACTACTTTGGTCTGCCTTTGCGCCTCAGGCCTCTTAGGCCCTAGCCATGTAAGAAACTTGTAAAAATATAGAAACAAACGATTTATAATCTATTTATTTCACACCATAGGGGTACGATAAAAAAAGGAAGTTACCAAAATTGGAAAACTACCTCAAAACGAAGATTATATTTATATAACGCATAACTAAAACTAAAGTA